CTGCGTAGGTTTACTTCGGGTACTCCGCTTTCCTTTACCACTAAAAACATGTACAATAGATCTGGCTTGTGCCTTGTACTGGCGACCCTGCTCCCACCTCTGAGTTGAGTGAGAGACAAATGCCCACAATTGTAAACCGCGGTTTATAAGTAGAGATTACTTACTTACTCATGGAAACTAGCCCTTCACGTTGTCAATTTTGTAACAATTTTTATCATCTACATTTAGTGAAATGTGTGGTCTATCCTGACACATAGGCTTGAACAGTCACATGCCCCCTGTCCCCTCTGTGTCTCAGCCTGAGCTGAATAAACTCAACACAAAGGACCTCTGAAACGTGACGGAATCTGCCCCAAACGACAGACACCCACATGCACACACAAGACACACATACACATACTCTCTCTCTCTCACACACACACATACACACACTCTCTCTCTCTCACACACACACACACACACACACACACACAAACACACAAACACACTCTCTCTCCTCCTAAGTCCCAAGTTAAACCTACAAATCCTATACACACAGTTTAGCTGGAGCTCATGTGTCAACGTCTCCATTATAGGATCTGCTGCGATAACAGAGAAAAGCCTAAACTTTCAATCAGGAAATATTGGCTCGTTAATGTTGTCATTTCGTCAGCAGGTTTAAGGAGGATTACTGGCTTAGCGTGTTCAAATGTTCAAATGCATCATTGGTTTGTCACTATAATTGAATAAAATCCTCCAGGACTGAGTTTAAATTACATCTTCAGGAAGTTCAAAGTCTTTAGAAATATAAACAACTTACAGGTAGCCCCATAGTTAAATATTTGTTATATTTATTATTTAAAAAACATAAAGTATTCATCTAGCTTCTCTGCATTTGACCCATGCCGCAATGCAGCTGGGTAATCTCTCAGGGGGAGTGAGTTTCCCCTGACAGGGACTCAGTCCAGCTGCAGCATGTTCCACATAACCTTGGACAGCAAGAAGAATTCACATGATATTTTGAGTTTTTCAAATCTTGTTTGACTGCCACTAGTGGATTGGCCTGAACCACAATGGTGAAGAGAATGGTCCCTTCTCTTGCAACATTGTTGTTTTGGGCCAAAGCCAAAGATTATATGTCCTCAAACAAACAAGGCAAAGCAGATACTTACTTTAGTCTATTTTCAAAAACCACTGTTTTGACAGAGAGGTCATTTAAGGATGGAAGAAACATTGCGTTTTCAGATCTCAACCAGATCTAGCTAACTTGTGATGTATTTTCTTGGTTTATTGCAATACTATGATTAAAGTATTCATTACAATTAAGAACCTTCCCCATTTTTGTTACAAAGAGATGCCCATGTTTGGAAGATCACGTCTCCCAATCGCACTCATCCCAACGTGGACTGATAAATGTGTCTCTGCAGAGTAGGGGTCACAAACTCAATTCCGGTGAGGGCCGCACAAGGTCAAGTCTGTCTGAAGTTGGGCATTAAATCTGTGCACGCCATGTTACTTTGCTTAGCCTCTACGAATAAATAAACCCACGCGTCTAGACCTGTCAATACATCAATGAATCGCATGATAATTGAAATTAGCTTGATATTTTTTTCTGGCCGCAATAAATGCCATTTGCATGCTTGTTTTCCTTGTTTTCCTCATCTCTCTCTCTCCCTCTCTGTCTCGGGTCAGAGAGCCGCTAAGTGGTTACGGGGACAATAGCGAGCAGACTGAAATACAAAAAAACAACCAAAACAGGAGCTAAACCATGGACTAAACCAGGACTGACAACGGGACACAGTGCTTGTGAACATATGCCAGCCTGAGTTCTCATTCTCTAGTAGTGACTAAACTACCAATGTGGCAGTACCATTTAATAATACAAAAACATATGGCGCACCTCCGTGAACACATACAGGACTTCTAGTCTGAACACCTATAGCATCGGAAATTTAGAGAATGTGCGTCTAGTGCGCATGGAAGCTGCGTTCCGGCCTCGACGGTCTGAACAAACTAATTACAAACTAATAACTCATAAATAAACTGGACCAAAGGCCTGAGGCTCAGTGTTGTTGACTGCTGGGCTGAATAATGTTCACTTTGAATTTTTACTTATTGAGTCAGGGTTTATGATAATATAAATATTGTGGTTGTTTTATTGATAAAATAATTGCTTTAAAATGATGTATAACATGCCATATCAGTCCAGACTCTCAGTGAAGGCCGCACTGACACTAAAGTTTGTTGTTCAGTAGGGGGACACAGGTTTGATTCCACCTCCAGACAGTAGGTGGAGTGGAGTTTGCATGTTCTCACTATCAGTGTAGTTTTCCTCCAGGTGCACCAGTTTCCCCTACCACTACAAATATGTGCAATAGGTAAAATATTCCTGCTCCAGTAGTCCTGACCAAGCTGAGCATGAGTCCCCAGAGCCTGTGGCAACTACTGCTCCTGACTGAGGCCCAAGTGGCATTGAAAAATGGGTCAAATGTAGAGGAAAAATGTCCGTACAGGGATTGATAAAGTGCACCATAGGATGAGCGATATCCATAAAAGTTAATTAATGTCTTTAAATAATGTCTTTAAATATCCCGGATCATCACAGTCTTTCGATAGTGATGAGGCCCACATTGAGTGTGGGATCTGCTCCTATGGATGGACAGGCTGTAGAACCGGCATGTTAGAATGAGGACTGAGGCTGTTTGATGTAGGACTGAAGAGGCTCCTGGGTGCAGCCCGCAACCTGGCAAAAATGGTAATGAAATGTTATAAACTTTTATTTATGAAGTTATATAAAATGGTGTCAATAGTATTAAACAAAATGCAAATGTGTCATCTACTCTTCGCTGCCAGTTTCATTTTAACAGTGACAAAAAGATGTTCACCGTGTCTGAGTCGGAGCACAAAAGTGTTCCCTCTTTGGATTCAATTCACTGATGTTTTCATGCAGATTTGAATGAAAACAGATGCAGATGTAGTCATGCAGCATTATTCTTGCAAAGAAGTTGGAATGTAAATGTATTGACTTTATTAGACCTCTACATACTGTTTCTCTAATGCACTCAGCTTGTTTCTTTTTGATGCTTCCAAATCAGTGACATATGAAGGAAAACTGGACTCATCCTTATCCTCACTGACCACTCCCTGTGGTTAACACATCTCACACTTTGACAGTTCCAGATCAGATAAACTTATATAGGATTCACTGTCCTCTTTATGGCAATGTTATGCAAGTTAAACCATGGAAACATTTATGAACCTGTGAAGTCATTGTGAAAATCCTTCTGTGCATTCTGAACTCCTCGTCAGGACCAAAAGACATCTTCCTCTCTCCTGTGGTCTGTGAAAAGGCAAGCCCAGAATGATGACTGAACAATCTGTTGAAATTTTTAATTGAATCGATTGTCTAAATAAACATTACATGGTGGGATTTTATTGACTCATTTATTCATTAGTAAAGAAAGATACAATCTCAGTTCAGTGCAAAGCTTTGTCAAAACATGTTTATCAGATTGGCACACTAAGAACAGTGGTGTGTTAGCGACTATTCTGTCCTTCGTCCTTGTAACAAACAGTATAGTATTAAAAGTGTTTATGCGATCATTATTTTTTTAACATTTATTTAACCAGGAAAATACCCATTGAGATCGAGATCTCTTATTCAAGGGAGTCCTGGCCAAGAGGTCTGTAGCACATGTTGAAAAGAAAATATCAAAAGGTCTCTTCACGGAAAACATGGTAAAGATAACTCATACTGAAACTTGGCAAATAAAGAATTGACTTTGTCTCATGTTAGAATTGCTTTTTTATTTACTGACTTAAAGTTGAATTCAAGAGTGACTTTATAGACATCCGCTGTCCCCACCTCTGGTAAAAAACAGACTGTTCTCATTTAAATATCATAGCAAAGATGAAAGAAGTCCAACCTATCATTTTAGATGCCAGAAATCCATTCAACTATACCAGTAATCATGCCCAGGGACCTTCTTCTCACCAACAGTCTCCACCACTGCTCCACCGTCACCTTTTTTCATTCACACCGGCTTTGTATATCCTTTTAAAAGTATGCAAAGAGCCCGTATCCTTACATCTTAAACCCATTCGCACCACAACAGGCCTCCCCTCTGTCTTGTTTGAATGCGTCTAATTATCCCCCTTATACGCTCTGTACATCCATATGACTCCCCCCAACATACAGGGATCAGAGTTCACGAGTGCTGGAGCGGACACGTCTTTAGTTAACGTCTTTGTCTTGATTTAAACACTTCAAGATTAGCCCCTCGCCCCCTCACACTGGAAAATAAGGTGGATGAGAAGAAAGCGACAGCGCCTTTGAGAAGAGACTTAAGTTCAATGAAGAGAGGAGGCGTTCAGAGAGGAGTGGGATGCAACTAATGCGTAAATACAAAACCTATTTAGGAAAATGGACACACTTTGTCCGTGCAGAAATTGGATACAGCTAATTATTGGTGGAAAATGTGTTTTTTCTTATTAAGGAAAAAAAGGAGGACACAGTTACAATTTATATTTTTGAGTCTTAGCAAACAGTTTTGAGCTTTATCCATGTCTGATCAGTATCTCTTGACCAGATATAACCAGAGCTGCTGTCTAACAAAACATTTGCTGACTCTTACTTACGCAATGTGTATGCTTACAAAACTGTATCTGTACAGATGTGAAATGTACTAAAAGGCCATGAGTGCCAATGCAAACACATTTGCAACATTTGCTAAACTTGTACTTTCTAAATAAGTTGCAAATTTGGGAAGTGTGTCTTATTGAATTGCAATGTTTTTGGCAGGAGCTTGCCCTATGGGAATCCCGCCCCGAAACGGGATCACTCAAACTTCTCACATAAAGACTGGGATCGACTTGCATGTGAGTATTCGGCACCATGGGATGTGCTTTAAGTGTCTTGCCTAAGAACATTAGTTTGATGTTTACACACTGCTTGACACTGACTCCGACTTGCAGGTTGGGATGCATGCATGTCTCACACGACCTAGAAAGTGCTTAAAACCATGAGCTGTGTTACCCTGACCTCAGAGCGAGTTGAAGTGCGGGAACCCAGAAAGAAGAAGTCAGTGTAACATAAAAACCACAGTCAACCTGATCTAAATATGTTTTGTACCAAAGTCTGATAATGATTCATGTTCCAACCACTCACTTTCTTAACCTTGCAATAAAAAGTAATCATCGCTAGTAATCTAAAAAATCAATACTCCAAGCCTGGTTACAACCACACCAACCTGGATCCCATATTTATTATACAAATCTTTGGGACTTTGTCCCTTAAACTTTTCTCCACTCCTTCGTTCTGCTCTCCATATGATCAGAATTACCAAGAACCAGGCCAGGCCAATTACATGATTTCCTCGATTTACTGCAGTCAGGACAGGCAAGCATTTTCCCAGGATTCTATCATGTCTCCGTCAACACAAACCACATGAAGCCAATGCAAAGACTGGATGAAATATGAGGGACCCCAGCCCGAACGGGACACGGCCGGCTCATGTCTGTCTGCCTCGTAAATCGGGGAATTATAAGAACGGAAAGAGTATGAAACATGAGCACAAACGCATTTTCTGATAAATATTGACAACACAGATTGTTGATAATGGAGATTAGGAATTGTTGAGTTGAAGGGAAACATAGAAATTTTTTATTGGTATTGTTGCCATTGTAGCTTTCATCAAAAGATTTTGTTTCAGATATTCTTAGTCATGCAGAAGTAAACATAACTTTCCATTTAGTGGCAAAATGAGCAGTATTGGCAATAGACACATAGACACATCGGCAGAATGGTTTTCTAAAACCAATCTCATTCTAAATGTATATATCCATTCCAATAGCAGCCACCTCCAATAGTAGCCACCTTAAACTCATGTATGAGTTTAAATATATCTTCACTTTAAACTCATTGAAGTGTCTGTAAAGGTTGTCTAATTTTAGGTTTGTGAATGAAGCCTTGCCTGTACTTCAGACCTCTGCATAGAGCACAGTTAATCCTGTGGTGTTACTGGGGTGGACGCTCCATAAATCCTTAATGGTCTGTACACTTCCCTTTTCCTGCAGCTTTTGTGAGAAAATAGTCCAAATATCTGCAAATGTGCCAGGTTAAAGATATGTGAATGAAAAAGGTATGCATTCAAACCTTGAGCCAGTAAAATGAAACTCGTATGAAGTAAACCCACAGTTTTGAGGATAATTCTTTTTGGTAACGCTTTATTAAGGTGTGCTTGTTAAGTATTAATAAGGTATTAATAGACATTAGCAACATGCTTATAGATTTCTTATATGTACTTATAAACATATTAATAAGCTGCTCATTTCACTATTCTCTAAATGATGTTGTTCTAGTTATATGCTTTTAAGCATTTAATAAGTAATTAGTAAGATACTTATTAAAGGAGGAATATGTTTATAAATATATGAATAAGCTGCTTAATAAACTATTATCGATACCATGTTAATAGGCCACTAACAATATGCCTATAAAGATATTAATATGTTGCTTATTAATAGGTAATAGTGGTAATAGGCCACTAAAAATATGCGTTAATAAACTGCTTATTACACTATTTTGCAGTACCCTAATCTAAAGCGAGGAGCATTTTTGTTAATGCAGAAAAAAACACAACAATGATCTAAGATGTTTTTATTTATTCAAACAGCAACAATTAAAGTCTAAATGAAAAAAAATATCAAAATTAAGTTTGTGCCAAAAGTTTGTTAGTAACTTCAAGGAGCCATGATGAACCCACTCATGCTCCGACCTGCTCTGTTAATGAATTTGGCTTTGGCAAAACAGTGAATCAAATTACTTCACAAGCCTGAGAGATTAGCGGAACTCGCCTATTTTTGGGCATTGTCTGGTCCTCCCTGTTCTGCGCAGTGGACGAGCTCCCATGATGCTTTGCGCCAAATACGCTTGCGTGACTGTCATGCACGTGCACAGAGGGGCCGTGCTCTGACCAATCAGAGCTGCTGATCAGTGCGAGAGTTAGAGCGGGAGTTAGAGCGGGAGCCAGACGAGGAGAGTTTGTGGCCGTAAAATGTGGATTTAAAGGACAACTCACCCTCAAATCCACTTTTTTTTGTGTGCTGATAAACGGTATAAATGAGTCTCCAATAGTGTTGTCTACATATCCTGGTCATAATTTTGTCACTTTGGTGCAAATTAGTTGAAAGTTAAACTTTCTGCCTAAAACCATCTGTGAGGCGCCCTCTGCTGGCGACCTGTATTACTACATTTGAATTTTGAATCTGGCGCCTGAGACCTGACTTCAGCAGCCCCCCGCCCAGAGCTATATAAACGGCCCAGTCTCGTTCACGCCCCCTTTAGTCCTCCAGGCTACGCCCATTTAGAGGAAGATTTGAACAGGAAATGTGAGTGACGTAAGCTCCGAGGAGCGGGGGTGAGAACCACTTTAAAGAAAACTGAAGGATTTAAGAAGAAAAAAAGTTCAGGATGACAAGGGACACTAAAATCCCCAGAAAATCCGAACTTTATGAAAGCTGTGGGTTCTCTGTCAGGTTCTCTGTCAGCTGAGGTCGAGCTGTTTTAATTTACATTGAGTTCTATGGGACTTTTTCTGGGTAGCCCTCGTGAATTTAGTCTGCAGTACCACAGCGCCCCCTGTGCCCATGGGTGGGACAGCTATAAGCTAGGAATACACTATCCAGTTATTATTATAGTTCCATGGTTGTGCCACAGGTGCGTTGTATACATGGATCTATTATAATAACTGGATAGGGTATTACTAGCTTGTAGCTCGGGAGATTCTCGTGGTACTGCAAACTAAATTCACGTGGGCTACCCAGAAATTGTCCCCATAGAACTCAATGTAAACTAAAACAGCTCGACCTCAGCTGACAGAGAACCCACAGCTTTCATAAAGGTCGGATTTTGTGGGGATTTTAGTGTCCCTTGTCATCCTGAACTTTGTTTTTAAAAAATCCTTCGGTTTTCTTTAAATCTACACTTTAGTGCCACAAACTCTGATTGGTCAGAGCGCGGCCCATATGTGCACGTGCATGACAGCCACGCACGCGTATTTGGCGCAAAGCATCATGGGAGCTCGTCAACCGCGCAGAACCGGGAGGACCAGACGATGCCCAAAAATAGGCGAGTTCCGCTAATAGGGGTGTGACAATACTTTCTCCCGCGATTCGATTATCGATATGCCTTTGCCAAGTATCAAGATCAATTTTGAAAAAAAAAAAAAAAAGTTTTTTTTTTCTCCTTTTTTTCGTTTTTATTGGTATCAATACTTAAAGCGAATATCCGGAGGATGAAAAGAGGGCGTGAAAATTCAAACCTGAACGGCACTATGCCGCTACCTAGCCCCTCCCTTGCATTTGTCAATCTTCTTGAAGCCACGCCTCTACGGTTGTGCACGCGCTGAGCCGAACATAACAAAGTTGGAAGGTCCGCAAATATTCGTTCTTTTATTTCATTTCGTGGCGATGGACATTTCTGAGGTAAGACAAAGCATGTATTTAAGAATTTTATCTATTTTGTCTAAGAACTGCTTAATATTGCCTATATGCAGCAATGCTAACGTTGCTAATTCTGCTAGTTACTATCAATCGTCGCAACTAAATTGCTAATAGCTAGAGCTGACCCTTTGCTTTGCATATCACATGTCACATATATATGTGTTTTGCTGCTTAGAGTTCGCATGCAGCAGAGTCGTCCTCTGACGAGGATTCACCCCCTTTCACCCCGACGAGCAGAGCACCTAAGCGAGCCCGTCCGTCTACGTCCAGGGGCCGTGGACTGGGTCGGGGTCGGCGTGCCCCGAGAGGCCGAAGTGCTGGCAACGTAGGCCTGGAGGATTCTGCACGTGTTCATGAGATTCGAACCCAGCGCATCAACTTTGAACGGGTATTTAGATGTAAATACATTTTGAGAAGTCTTCATTTGGTTGTACGAAACTAGTGTTAGGAGTATATTATAGATAACAATCGTTATATTAGTTACTGTAATGGGTAACCATTAGATGCACTGGAATTCCACATGCTGTTCTCGCTGTGGTTAGATATAGAACTTGTGTGACATAAAACAAATTTTACATAGAAACCACTTAAAATTGTATCATCATTACTATACAATTATTAGGGTTAGTGGAATATATTCAAAAGACAACAAAGAGACAACAAGAGTGTAATATTGAATGAATGAAGCTTTTATTACGGACTCATGGTCCAACACCATTGTTATGCCTGTATCACAATATAACATTAAAACTAGTAATCTCTTATGTATAACACTGAGTAACTTGGCAAATAAAGGTATTGTTTATGTGCATATAGAACTTGTCTTATTATTGTACAACTATGTGTATATTTCTTAGGAACTCCTTCAAAGCCTAAGCCACCAGGACGCTCTGGAAGTACTGCAGGAAGTGTTGGAGAGGAACCCTGGCGTTCTCCTTGGCATCATGCACCGTTCAGGCCCAGCTGCACGAGACCCGCTTACAGATAATCAGCCTACTTGGTGTGTCTGCAGCCACTGTAAAGACATGCCAACAGACATTGAAAAAAAATGCTGCCAGCAATCCCCTGTCCTGTGCGTTTCTCTTGCTCCGCACATGCAGACTCTGATTCTTGTCGGAGGGGTTTTGCGACTGGCGAGGAATCTGTGGAATGACTTACGCGCACTTCATGATGATTCGGAACCAGGGGAGGACAACAGACAATTTCGCCATGCTGCATATAGGCAATACGTTTCATGGCAGTATGGCACACTGGGAGCTCGCAACAGGGTGGTCATTCCAAGTTGTGTGGTATGGAGAATAAGAGAGAAATACCCTGATCCGAATGGGATCTACACCGGCTTCATTCCCAGACGATTATAATTTAATTATATTGTAAAGTGTTGTTGAAAGGATTGTGTGTGTGTGTGTTTTAATAAAGGATCCTAATTGAATCTGATGCCTATGTGCTGTAATTACAACAGGCAAAGCATTTCAGCAAAAGTATATACATTTATTTACAAACTTCAGAATAGAATAAATATTCTATTGTTGCAGGAAAAATTTCAAATCTATTGCCGTTCTTCTTGACCTGCTGAAATTAAACAACTTATCAGAGGGGAAAAAATAAACAACATTGAAATACAACATCTTACCATCTCCACGGCTGACATGTTTGTCCCTCAGTTCTTTTGTTGATGGGGCTGGAACACCACAAACTAACCCTAAATGTCTTGGGTCATTAGATCTGAGTTTGGTGTGTTTTGGGAGTCCTCTGTTGCTGTTTATCCGAGCAGCCACAATCTTGCTTTGAAGTGAGGGAATATAGGCATAGTCCTTCTTTACCTTCAGAGCATAAAAAGCCCAGGATCTTGATTTTTTATTAAACACTCTTCTCCCTCTAAATGTAACAAAATATATATTTTTAAAACAAAGAAAAAATGATTTGATTATCTTTTGGTATACACTTACTGCACGGATCCATCAGGATATCTTCTCATAGGCCTGTCAACATGGTGGTTGTAGTCCAAAGCAGCAAGATAAACACGTGCATTGTACACAGGCTGTACAAAGCTAAAACGTTTACTTGCATACATGAGAAGATGATTGTGGAAGGATTCCAAATGTGCTGTGGACCTACAAAAATAAACAAAAAAACTCAATTTAATTTTACAATCTATAGAAGAAAAAGATTAATATAGTCACCTGTTTTCCTACCTGAAATTCAAATATTTTGGGACATCCTTGAGCCAGCGTTCTTTCAGAATGATTTCGGAAAGGGCAGAGTGTGCTTTGGATCCTTTCTTTATCCATTCCTTAGTAGGCTCTTCCACCAATGGGTCATGTTGGCATGCATCATAGGGCCATTCATGTTCACCAGTGACGTGGTCCAATAAGCCAATCCACATGGGCTACGAAGTAAAACAATAAAAAGGCCATTAGTAAGAATACAATAAAAAGACAATTATGGCACAATTCAAGTTCCTCACTTGACTCAACAATATTTGGTGTATCTATTCACTTTAAAATGAATATTTTAAGGTTAAGATTTTAAGCTTAAAACTACTTACAAAGAATCTTTCATAATTATCTGCTACTTTGCAGCAAAACCAGAAATGATTGCATATGTCTTTCTTCCACTGCAACAGAATTTTGCAATCCCGCTGTTGGCCAGACTGTAAACAAAGGTCAGCATAAATACAATAAACAAAAATAAAAATAATTTCTACTCACAGCATGTATTCGTTTCCCGAGGTTCTTTGCACCATGCCACATATCGAAGCTATGCTCCACTCCAGAATCTTTATATATTCCAGTTCCTAATTGAAAAAACACATGTGTTATTGTGAAAAAATAACTAGTATTGTTTAGTTTACATTGTAGTGTACTTACTGAAAAGTGCAGAAATCTGGGTATGCGCATCAGTACAAATCTCAGAAATATTGACTTCATTTCTAAGTTTGTCTAAACTATCAATGAATGCCAACTTTTCCATTATGGTGGAATGTCCCTGGGCTTCTCGCTTGTCTTTATTGGCAATATTCATAATCTTTTTACTGCCATTGTCCATCACAGTGTATGTGCAGTATTGGGCCGAAAAACCAGGGCTGTCCATTCTAGCATCTCCTGTGTTTTTAACAGAACAATGTATATGTCAATCATTCCAAATTGTTTAATTCATAAAAATTAATTGAATACATTTGATTATAGCTTTAAAACAAATAACTTACCAAGTGCAACAACTCTTTCATCCTTCAAACTAGAGATTATGGAAGCTCTTTTCTCTTCCCAAAATTCCTCAATGGTTGTCACACAGTATGCATCTTGAATGGCAAAGAAAGATGTCTGAGCTACTATACCCATGTTCATGTACTTGAACAGAAGGGCGACTTTGGAATAGTTATTTCCACTGAGAAGTATGTTTGTGGCGAGCATGAAATCGCCCGTTTGCATATTGAATTTAAATGTGGGCTGTGAATTCCATTGCCATACTGTATGACCATTGAGACACACCTAAAGAGTATGAAGATGAAAACGTGTGTTAGATATATTGATCCATGCTTATTTTAAAATCCCAATTTGCCCTCATACCCATTTCAGTAGAACAGCGCTTCCTCTTTTAACAAGAAAAACTTCAAATGGTCCAGTGGCTCCACATTCATCTTTTAGAGTTTTTGCTGGACATCTTCTAATTGGCATTTGGAGAAATGTAACAAGCTGCTTTAGGCAGGTGTCATACACAATGGCAGCTTGCTGGCCTACAATGTCCTCTGGGGTTTCAACTCTGATGCTGTTGCATGGTATGGACGGATCATCACAAGGTGGGAGGTGAGGGTCTTGTCCTATGCCATCATACACAATGTCCTCCGCAGTGGCCACAGGAAGCTCATCAATATTGTAGGCAAGTGAAGCTCCAGGTCTGAGCAGAAATGATACAAATGATATATTTTTTATTTATTTACACAATACATTTCAATATTAGTAATTAAGTAATGTTTATTTATACAGCGCATTTTACAGACCAAGGTCACCCAAAGCGCTTTACAATGTTCAGAGTTCAGATATTTTCTCATCGTTTCATTCATTATACAATGATTGAAATGTTTAAACGCAGCACCTCATACTGTTCTAGCCTCCAAGCATGCGTTTATACTCAAACTGCAGGGCTCCTCTTTACCCCCTTACATAAATAACACTCACCTGATTCGTATTGTTGGTATGTAGTCCGTGTCACTGTCGTCAGACTCACTGTCTTCCTCTCTTGTTTCCTCCTCTGAGGTAGAAACTTCTTCTGTGTCTTTAGATGGGGTCCATGTTTCATCTTCTGTCCAGTCAATGCTGTACACAGAGGGACATCATATTTTTTTGTATTATTATTATTAACTAAGAAAGGTGTACTGCACTGGATCAGATGTATTGATTACACATGCTCATTGGACTGAAAAACTTGTAACAACTTTTAAAAAGGGCTAGGCAGAATTTAATAGTGGCAAATTTCCCGTGACCACTTGTTGCAAAACATTAGCTCTGTAACATATCTTTTGCAGCAAGTGGTCTTAAATTTCTTGTATACATTTTTTATACTCACATTGAATTCTGCAAACTGTTTACATCATTCTCATCCACTTCATCAGCCTGTATCCTGAAAAAAACATTGTTTACACCAAATTTACGAAAAATTATAATATCGTGAATAACGTACCTTTTTCCATCATCGTCACTGCCAATTGGGAGTACTTCGTAGAAATCCTCCTCTCTAAAAAAAAAAAAAAGTAGAGTGAGTGAGGCAAAAAGAAATAAGGAAAAATGTTGATATAAACTACAGTGTACACACAATATAAATGCTGCTGTGTGGGAACAACTGGATTAGCCTTTATTTTATATTGGGATCATTCAGATGCTAACAGGATAGATCACGTACCTTTCAGACAACGACTCTGCAATACTGGAAAGAGCTGGCATCACAAGTCGTTTTCTTTTAATATTTCTTCTTGGTGTCGACGTTGAAGAATCTGATCGTTTCTGATAGCTACAAATTAAACATAGAAGATACGTTATAATCATTAGAATGACGTTTAACTACACAACGTTGCACTGACTTGCAGGAGTTTGCAGCCAAAAAGCTAGTACAAGTAACATGTCAGAAAAAGTAGCGCTAGTAATAACGTGTTTTGGGGTACCGTGATTGTTAGCTGCTACGTGAAAACCAATAAATCCATGTAGTGACAATTGAAGACCGAACAATAAGTTTCATTTGACTTGAAATGAAACATGGACTCGGTCCACAGTAGAAGTGTGCCAGCTAGCTGAGCCGACATATTGCTAGCGAATGGTACGCTAACGTTAGCTTTGATGCATGCTAATTGACACTATGCACATTCTACTGTTGCAGAAAGACAGTGGTATTGTTTTTCACTAGCGACACGTTTAAAAGTGGCATTAAAAAGTTTTCATTACCTGTCCAAGAGATACATCGCCAACTCAGGGTCAGTTTTAAATCCCTTCAAAAGCCGCAGGTCCCTCCACCTTTGAAACGCCGCTCCAAGATATATTCTCCGGTGGTCACGAAGGCGTCTATCTGCCAACTTTGTCCCCGGACTTTTCTTTTGTTTTGATGTAGGAGCAGCTTTAGATGGCAATCGTGGTATTGGCAATTTCGGGTTTACGGAGCTTTCCGCCATGATGTTGTGTTCGCTGGCCGAAGATGCGCGTCCTTGTGGCCATGCACGGTTTTGTGCATGCGCATGGACCTTGACTGACAGTCGCCGCTGCAGGAAGTAAAAGCCTATTGGCTAGCTGATCGAGCCTCGATTTTCAGTTTGTATAGGGGTCTATAGGCCGAGGGCGGGACTTACATACATCGATGTATACAAATTACCAATGGCACTCGACCATAGTAAAAGACAGCGCAATCCCTTTTTCACAATTCAAAAGAATAATACATAAACCAAGACTTTCCAGAAACTCCGGATATTCGCTTTAATATATGGCTACATTACACATCTCCATTCTATTTATCATGAAATAAAGAGTATTTTTTATTTTATTCATGCCATAAATTGGCATATTGTATATTTCTGACCAATATATCAATAATCGTCATATCGTGATAAAATCGTTATTGTAATCTTTATCGTGAGCTTTGTATCGTGTATCGTATCGTATCGTGAAGTACCCTTAGGTTCCCACCCCTGTCCGCTAATCTCTCAGGCTCGTGAAGTCAGTTGATTCACTGTTTTGCCAAAGCCAAATTCATTAACAGAGCAGGTCGCGGAGCATGAGTGGGTTCATCATGGCTCCTTGAAGTTACTAACAAACTTTTGGCACGAACTTAATTTTGATATTTTTTTTCATTTAGACTTTAATTGTTGCTGTTTGAATAAAATAAAACATCTTAGATCATTGTTTTGTTTTTTTCTGCATTAACAAAAATGCTCCTCGCTTTAGATTAAGGTACTGCAAAATAGTGTAATAAGCAGTTTATTAACGCATATTTTTAGTGGCCTATTACCACTATTACCTATTAATAAGCAACATATTAATATCTTTATAGGCATATTGTTAGTGGCCTATTGGTATCGATAATAGTTTAATAAGCAGCTTATTCATATATTTATAAACATATTCCTCCTTTAATAAGTATCTTACTAATTACTTATTAAATGCTTAAAAGCATATAACTAGAACAACATCATTTAGAGAATAGTGAAATGAGCAGCTTATTAATATGTTTATAAGTACATATAAGAAATCTATAAGCATGTTGCTAATGTCTATTAATACCTTATTAATACTTAACAAGCACACCTTAATATAAAGCGTTACCTTCTTTTTTTTTTACAATAAAAAAAACACACTGTCTTCTTGAACTTATTGGGTTCTGGTGGTCTGGGTTGCACTGAAATTTCATATTATTTTTTAACCATTTCCCTCTTCAAAAACATGCAGGAGATGTTTTAAGCTTCACCCATGCCTATTATCTAGATTTTAGGAGCAACCCCAGAGCATTTCTGCTTTCAATCTGTGTGCCTACACCAACATGTTAGAAAATGTGAAATGTTTAAATGGCTTGCATTAAGGGCTGTAATTCCCATTGTCACTAAGAAGCACTGATTCTCCCCATTTGATTGGTTGTTTCGAGTCTCATTGTGCTTATACTCCAAAGCACAAGCGTACCTGGAAACAACCCAGCCAGAGACAGGAAGAAACAAACTTCCCCGAGAAAGGGGGCATGGGCCTGGCACAAGGTTTAACACAAAATCTTTTTGCTGAAGCATAAGTGCAGCCATCTCAGCCATCAACACATCTCTTAAAAGTATTTTTTAAATGATATTCCACCTTATAGTGTCCCAGGAATCTTGAGGCCTTATATTCAAGTCTCATATCCCTGAATCTACCCTGTCAGGATTTACAATCCCACAAAATAAATCCATGACAGAGAGTATAACCAGTTCCTTGTTTTGCTGTTGCGAGCATGATGAGATGTTTAGTTGGTCGGTGGGTGGGCAGAAGACACATGTTAGTCCAGATGTTTATGCTGGTTTTACAACTCTGGCTCTGAAGACAGGGATGGGAAAGTCTCGTCTCAGTGGAGAAGAGCACTATGTCATCAGCTTTATTATTTCCCGTCAAAGAATAAATCATGTATAAGGAACAAATGGACGAGATGCACAATGTTCAGTTGATCTAAAATTAAGGTTACTACAGTTCAACACAAGACTGTTCACTGAAGGCCGGTCTTTGGGGAAGCCCAAATATGTTTTCTGGGATCATTTGAGCAAAAGACTTTTTATGAACAGTGGTCCCTCACTATAACGCGGTTCATCTTTCGCTGCCTCGCTACTTCGATTTTCTGTGTGTGCAATTTTGCTTTTTTCCAAAGCATGCTTCTCATGCGCATGTATACTCCAACAATCATATACAAGATCACACTACAGCTAGTGTAACGTGACATCTTTATTTCAAGTCAGAAGTACATTGTTGTGGCCCTCAGTCCGGCTCCTGCCCCTCAGCACAATGTCCTCTGCAGCTGTATTGCACAGTGTATACGCGGCTTTTGACAGGTATAAAAGTGTTTAAAGTTTGTGGTGCTGAGTTTTACCGCCTTAAAACATACTGCTGCTACTTTGTGAATTTTGCTTTTTGCAAGTATATTTCTAGAACGTCACACAATCGAGGGACCTTTGTATATTACTGTATAGTACTGGAACTTTCTCTGGGTTCTGTAAAGTCCTGCTGGATCCTTGGACTACAGTAACTGTTTTCAGAGATATGTGTCCAGACGCGAGCTTGTGTCCATGAGCTTCTGGCTGGTTCCCATGTTTGGGCAGCAGGAGAGTGTCTGTGCGGGCTTCTGGTAATTCCGGAGAACCTCCAGTTGTTGATCTGTGCAGTTAGCAGGTCCATGAGTGTTAGCAATCGGGAATTCTGCAGAACTTTGTGCTTTGAAGCAATGAGTGAGTGGCCACACGTACTGTAACACCTTGTGTTGTCTAATGGCTTTCCTGTTGTTGATATATCTGTTGGGGATGCAGTGTTTTCTGACCACAGTCCGCTTCTGTTTGGTTAAACAATGCACAGTGAAGCAAAGCTGCTATGTCCTGTGCATCGGAGCCGCTCCATAAAGCCTCGACTGTAGACACCTTTTCGACTCTCTTCGAAGCAGCAGTAGACCTAGTCTTTTAGAGATCTCTCTAAAAGATGAATTAATGTAGTAAATGTATTAAGTCAGTTGGAGCAAGCAACAAAGTACTGTTTATTCTGGAAAAAAAAGTTTTGTTTTGTTTTGTTTATTTTCTTGTAATATGAAATATAAACAAACTTCACAACTACTTTGGAATGTGTGAGATGTTCCACTTCTTGCTTATCAATAAGGTAAGGCAAAAATATTTTGCTTCTTATTTGAAGTGTTTCAGTCACTTTGAGCCTGTGTCATTGTCTGTGATCACAGGGATAGTTGATAAGTTCAGACCATCGTCTGGTCCCAAAAACGTAGTCCCAAATATTACTACATACAAGTTGAATTGAAATCCGTAATTTAATTGAAAACTTGAGCTCATTGATTCAGTTGTGTAGGAATTCAGGCCGAAAAAAGTACTGAGTAGTAGAAACTGCGTGACGTTAGTTCTCTTCCCCTCGCAGAACGAGGAGCAGCGCTGTTACGAACAGACTGCCTCCTCTAGCGTCTGCAGCGCAGGTAAACACAGCAGCATGTTCGCAGAAAGTGGCTATTCCTTCTCTGGCTGTAACTACAGACACAGCAATAGGAGGATCTTTGTTTACACCTGCGTGCGCATGTGCACCTCGCTGGGTGGCGAGAACACATAGCGGCCCATACTGAAGCATGGATATCACAGTACTTTTATAAGACTCAGTGTGCGAATGCACTGTGTATAAGCATTTTAACGCAAGCAGATCAGAGGAGATATAAAGCCAAGCTAAAAATAAGTTTATGAGACCGAACTGAACAAATTCAAAGCCCATATGAGACCTGGGATGACGAGAAGAAACATTGGTCAGACTCACCTCTGTCTTGGCACCGATCTGCTGGGGCTGGGACTCAGAGACATTTATTCTTACTTCATAGAAAACCTGGGACCCTTTACTCAAGAAGGGTCCGTGGTGAAAATCCATTTCTCCCGTATTACACCGCGGTAAAGCGGCCCAACATTTTGCCGTCGCGGTAAAGCACATTGAAAGAGGGTTGCTCCTTTTTGCTGTTACTTACGGTAAAGGTGGAACAGGAAGCCGCAGGGATGAGCAACCCGGCTTCCCGGTCTGCGTTTACCGTATGTAGCATAAAAGGGCAACCACCGACGTTTTTTGCTGTTCTTTTCCGAAAGAATTAGAAAAAAAACTTAATCTGTCCCCAGCGGGCCGTACAACCGACTACACAACAGGAACGGGCCATTTGATTTAGTAAAACCTCTCTACAAACGTCTAAAAATAGCTAACTCTCTAGC